ATCCAGTCTACTCTTGAAAAATAGAGTTGTTGTGTGTAATTATATCGTAACCATTATTTCCTTACGAGAAATTAAATGGTTACAAGCGTAGAAAAGACATTGAATATTTCAAAATTTAAACATACCTACAATCTGTTTAACACTGCTTGGTCAGGATTGATGGCATGGGATTTATATACATTGCCTGGAGATGTAAAGCTAATATAATAAACCTTACTGAACTGTGAGTATAACCCAGTTTATTTGAACTCTTAAAGTGATTTTTGCTTGTTTTGTTTAAGGAGCTTTTTTTATACATGTACATAGCGTTGCACAAAGCTTGTCACAAAATCTCAAGTGTCACTCCATTTTTGCAAACTTCACATCCTTTCATATTTAAAATTCATTTCACAAGTTATCGGGAAGAGGCGTTGAAACAAATCTAGGCAAATTACCAAACTGTCATTCATTAGTTGTTTTTGTAGTATTATTAACTGTTACTGAATATAAAGTTTTATTGGTTACAAATGAAGAAAGCTTTGATTTAAATGCCCAAGTGATGACAGTAAACAACAAATACCGAAGCAGCATCTAGTGTTACAGTTTGCTATCTCTGGCTTTTAGTTGTTAACTCGTTTGAAGTTTTATTAACCTTGTTGAATATTCAGCATAGGGCTTGCAAGAATATTTACTTATTGCAATACAGCAAAGATGCTTAAATCCATGCATGTTCATTACAAGGACTAATTTAAAGGATGTTTCATTTAATGTTTTCAAGATATGGTAATTATAATGCAGTTTTCATTATAAGAGATTTTATCAAAACAAATCTTATTGGTTTCGATGTTTTTTTTTTAATGATAATTGCCCAGGTTAACTTTCTCCCCCAAAGTTTTTAATCGCATTGCTAAAAATCACATAACTTTTGGCGCTTTTGATGGTTTAAACTTTATTTATTAACAGGAAAAGGAAATACGAGGAAATGATCCATCTATAGACTTGTTAGTCAGAAATTTGGTTGGTTAAACTTTGCAGTTGGAAGAAGTTGAACCTGCTGTTAGATTTGTACATGTTCTTCAGTTTTATGTACATAAAACTATAAAATTGAACATTGTTTGGTGTCTGTTATTCAGGAAACAAGTATAACTATTTTCTGATTGATTTGCTTGCCTTCTTTTGCTTCTTGAAGGACTCGGCAAGAGTTGCACAAATATTTTCTTTAACATCAGTTTTTCTTGTACATTGGCTGCTGCAACAAAGGAAGTCATTAAGATTCATTTTTATAGTGTTAACAGGATAGTAAAATCGTTTTCATAAAAAGAAACGATCTACTTTACCCTGTCACTCCTCTTGCTTACTTTTCATTGTGATTTGAATTGTTCTTTCTCTGAAGTCTAGAGTTATTAACATGCAACACTGTTAGTCATAATTTGCCAGCAGAATTGGTGATGCTGCTGCCTGCTATATTTGACCCTAAGTAGAGAAGCCACCTTGCTGAATTTCGGGCATGTATATGTACATGTGCATGATGATTCTGTGCCATTTTCAAATTTCACTGTTATGGCCTGGTCATGATGGGGTTCCATGTAGTTTAAGTAAAAGCTTGCAAATTTAAATTTGTCCTATTAAGTGACCATGAAATTTCGGACTGTTCACTCTATTCAATGTCATAGAGAAACAGGTTTTTAAAAATTGAGATGTTCTTGAAAAGCAAGTGACTACTTAAAAGACGGCAGGTTTTAGGTAAAGATATAACCTAATGTCCATTGGAAAATGTATATGAACCTGGTGGTGGATAACATCACTATAATAGCTGCAGGTCAGTAGCAGGCAGGCTAAGAGGGGTTAAACATAAACGTCAGGGACACTTAGTGTGACTTGTCCAGGTAAATGCTCTTAAAGTCTATGTATTCAGTTGTCTGTTGTGGTGAATATTGTTTCAGAAAGAAGTGGGTGTTTGTCTGGTATTTCTTTGTTGTCGTTTGTGAAAGTAGGTAAATTTTGTATATAAATGTAATTATTTTTTAAATATTTTTAAGTAGATCTTAAGCAACTTTTGTGTATGTATAAAACAGAAGGAATTAAAATTGATCTAGATATTTTTAAAACCTGTATTGACTTGATTTTGCCTCCCACATATGTATGTATTCATGCATGATCTTGTACATTTAGAAATGGGCCAGTCATTATAGTCTTAATGTGTTTTTGTCTCTTCGTACAGGTGCCACTTGCTATATGCCAGTTCAATTCATGCGCTTTCCATTTATTCAGCTGCTAGTTTTTATGCCATCTTTTGTGCCATGGGTTTAAGTTCACATGCAGCAATATGTACAAATTATATGTATTCATTTGTTTAAAGTTTGTGCATAATAATTGTTGTAAAACTTTCCCAAGAAATTACATAAATTACAGGTAATCTATAGGAAATATTGATTTGTGCAATAACCTCATGAATGCATCTATAGCGTAAAACAAGTGCCACCTGTACGTTATGAAAAATATTGAGGTATTGAAAGTAAGCAGTTTACCATTTTACTACTGATCCATATAAGAAAATAGGTAAATCTGCACCAACAGTCAGTACTGCAAGAGGCCAACATTTTTTTAAAAATGCAATACAAATTCTCTATGAAACTAACCTCCGTATGATGGCGCTTTAAATACATCCAGCTTTAGCCAAACCCTAATAGACCCACTTTGAAGTGCCTTGCATTAAAAAAATATATATATATATATATATATATATATATATATTTGTGGGTTCCAATTGCCAGAGTATTTCATTTACAAAAAAGGGAAAAAGAACTGCATATGTCTGTTTTAAAGAAGCAAAATGATTTGTTGATATTAGTGCATCACTACTTTGCTGCAATGATACACATATCAAGTTAAGAGGAGAGTAGATACAAAATGATGCCATATATTATTTTGGTCTTCAGCAGTTCTGAATAATTATTATTCACCTTATTATTTAAATAGAGTTCATCTGAAACAGCATTTGCTGTCCTAGGCACTCATTTTTTTTTTAGTAAAAACAAAAAAGAATATGAGAAACTCGTTCACCATAAGCAAATTCAAAAAAGGTTGCATAGCTTGTAGTCTGCCCCAACACCTGATTCCATGCTAATTATCTTTACCCAGCAGCATGTTCAGCATATTGGATACATTCCAAACATGTTCCACATGCATAATGAAGTACTTAACTCGTCATTTAATAACCAATTTTTGAAGTTTCTACTTTAAGTTTGTCTAGTTGGGTCCATTTGAAAGCTACACACTGGTGTTACATGGTGAAATATGTTCAGTCAAATCTTATTGGTGGTTGCAGCATGTTCCAGGCGAGGTTAAATAATAACTACCAATCAGCAATCAGTAGCTTATTCCCAGCATGATGGGCAACACTAGCAAAGCAACAGAGTAGCTTTGCTTTAAAGTTATTGGTATATAAATTAATTAAACAGACCCTGTCATGGTGTGCGATTGGGTGAATCATGCAAAATATGTATGAATTCACACACTTGGAGAACAGTAATGTGCGACAACTGCCACCAATTAGTTGAATGTCCTGCATATGAAAACATGCTCGACAAATTATACCAATTGTGGCATGTTTTTCTGGTAGATAACTGTTTGCACATCTAGGATCTTCAAGTATGATAAACATGGTAGTTAAACTAAATTTGATTGGCTCATTGTGCCCAGGAATAAGCATTATGGCATAGTTTTAACATTCCATGAAGGAAGTTTTAAAAATGCACATAAAAAATATGGGCAACCTAGAAAACCTAAAATGTCAGATTCCTGGCTTAGATCATTGCGTGACAAATACTGACTGGTGATGGTGATAATAAGTTGTGATGTATATTGGATTATTCAAATTGAAATTGTTAATGGAGATGCCAGTGAGTGATATTGAGCCAGAGTCAAATGTACATGTTGGATCGAAAAAATAGATGGGTTGATGGTCAATCTCCCTTTCATCGGTATTTAAAATTAAATGTAGAAATGGCAGAATTATTCACCTAATTAAAATACAGACAATTTAAAGTAGAATGCAATTTTCATATTTGTATTAATCAATTTAGCCTTGTGAATTGTATGCTAGAGAACCATACATCCATAGCATTAAGATAAACTGAATCAATAAAGATGAAAAAGATTAAATTAAGAAGATACTTATTTGTAATACCTCTGTTTACACAAGCCTGTATGGCATTAATTGGCTAAAAGCCACACTTCAGTATTATGGAAGAGATAAGAAGTCTTAAGTAGTTAATCAATTACTGATTAAAGAAGTATTTGCTAGTGAAAAATCTTGTTTATTTTGGAGCATATGTATCTAAACGATGTCTGAGCTCTGGAAAATTCTAAATAACATCCACGAAGAGCAGTGTACCAACATCTTCATGCTGACAATTCTAGCTATGCATATGCCATTTCAGAAGAAAGCACAGAAAAATATTCATACACAGATAAGGAACCAGGTATGATCAGAAATAATTAACACATAAATAGTTGTACAGCTCAAGGTGACATCAATTAAAGATTATGATTTCAGTAGAGCTAAAAAGAAGTGGAGTATTGAAGTTTTAAGTAAATATTGAGCCACGACACTTCTTTCTTTTCTACGCACCCTTCTTTCGGTGACGCATGGCAAAGTCCCCATTGAAATACAGAATAGGACTAGGTGTTGTCAGTAGTTTTTCCTTCACAAATTTATACAACAAATACCAGTGGCCAAAGCAGTCATTTGCATATTCATGAAGTACAACGTGATAGATTTTGTTGGTATTCATCTTCATTCCCATGCCAGGACATGTAGATGAGATTTTCTTTGCACACGGAAATTGCTTTATTTCTTCTACTTTGAAGATAATATTGTGATGTCTTTCTAGTTGTAACTAAGCATGCAGTAGGTAATAAGATGTTTTCAAAGTATTCATGCAGTGTACAACAACAAAGGGCCTGGTGGCTAAAGTGAGTTAATTAAAGCCACCATTAAATACCCTAAACCAACAAGTACCGCTCCGTGGCTTAGTGGTTAGAACGTCCGGCTCGGATGCGGGAGGTCGTGAATTCGATCTTCGGACGAGTCGTACCAAAGACTTGCAAAAATAGTACTAACAGCTGCCTCGCTGGACGCTCAGCATGAAGAGGTTAGTGTTAGGACTGGTCTGTTTGGTGCCAGGATAATGTGACTGGGTGGGACATTGTGCTTCATGCCTGTGGCATGGTGTCCCAGTGCTGAACATCACTATAAGTTGCCACACTGCAGACATAGCGATATAACTGAAAAATTGTTAAAGCTACGTTAAAAATCATAACTCGCATCACAACCAACAAGTCTGAAAGTTTTTTGTTTTCTTGTCATCGATAAGAATTGCATATAAATATATGATAACTATATCTGTAATCTGCATACTGGAAATACAACTAGCATGTCAACATACAGAAAGGAGTACCACCTACCCTTCAAATGGGGAAAGACCATCAAATTTCAATTATCGTAGGCTGTGTATCATCAATAGTATCAATACACTGCAAATGTGTATCGTTTCACCTCTAATACCAACATTGGTCTGCACACATTTTTAAGCAAACTGGGTTTAATCCATACTCATGTAATTGAGTTGATTTAGGTATTTCATTGTTAACGTTAGGTGTAATTAAGGAGATTTTGTAGAAAATGATGCCCTTTTCCACCCATCTAACAGATTTAATACCACAATTGTTATCCTAAGAAATTAGGCTTTATGGTGTTCTTGAATACCTATATCAACACATACAGAACTCGCAACAGGTTAGAACTAGGTACTTTAGCAAATCCAATGAATGAAACCTCGTATTTTAAGCAATCTAATTGACTGTTATGCGAGATATGCAGAAACACAACTTATATGATTCAATTTGTTAACCGAATTCTGTTACCTAGTTGAACTCTGTATATGACTTTCTGACTTACTAAGTATAATCAAAAGGTAGTGGTATGGTCTTTCAGTTATATATATATATATATATATATATATATATATATATATATATATATATATATATATATATTACAAATTTATTTTTAAAAATGATGCAACTGCTATTAAATATGGCTACATTTATTAAAAATAGTTGGGCTTTTTTGAAAGATGTCTAATAACTTCTCAAAAACCGTTTGAATAGAATTTTGTACAATTTTGACAGTATACTGGCAAAAAGGCCTACCAGAACAATTTTTTTTTTAAAATTCCAATATGTCACCATTACAAAAATTAGAAAAGCACTGAACAACTTGTTCTCGTGATTGCAGAACAATATTTAAAGAAATTTGAGAGCATTGTGGCATAAAGGTTTTTAAAGCTTTTTATAAAATGTGCTGAGCATAATCAAGTATAGCTGCTAATACTTGGAGAAAAAAAATTGCATTTTAATACCATAATTGTACAACCCCAGGTGGGAGGAGCTTGGTGCATTATGTAAGAGTTGTACTTTTTGTTAGGCTTTAAAAAAAAGTTGATCCTCTTGGCAACATGTGAAATTATGTTAATTCATATCTAGATCACATTTTGTATTTTTTTAAGATTTTTTTTTTTAAAATGTGGTACACATGACTGAAAATGTGCCCGGTGTAACTAGATAACTCTTACCCCTGTCTAGTTCCAGCAGAGTTATCTCTCTTAAATGCAATGAAGTACCTATTTTCGATGTTATCAAATTAACAATCTAACATTGTTCTCTGTGACAGTGTGTGACATGCATGCTGAGGTAAGATAGAAAGTATATTTATTTCGCAAAACATTAGCATTGCGGTCTATGGAAAAGCAACTGGTACCGTGATACCTCTTGAATGTGACTGATGCGGACTGTGCGTTGTAATATATTCGGCCCGTTCGCCGTTTCCAATACTCTCTTATAAACGTAAGTAAAGGGAAGAAACTTTCATGAGCAAGAAAACAGACGACTATCAATGTAGGACTTAACTCTTTAAACTAAATATAAGTATTGCTAAATGGCAAATATTGCCAAATTGAGCTGTTAATAAGGAAACATAGAAAACGGCGTAACATGATGGCGTGTATTCGTTTCTAATTGTATATGTCTGGGTTTAACTATCAGAAACTATTTTGTACTTGTGACAAGAAACAATATTCCACGTCTTTGAAGCACTTTGTTTTCACGCTTGATTTACCACATTGTAAGGCATTCCTCTTATTAATGTCTAGAGAAAGGCTGAAAGTTATTCAACGATCCAATAGTGTCATTGCTACTTTAAGTCTTTGTTCAAATTCACCAGTGAAACAGTTTTCAATTCATTTTATATCACTTAAATCTAACGTTGCATTTTCGTACTTTAAAACTAAGAACATAAAAGATCGAGTTAGATATCAACCTAGTTGTGTTATAAAAACTGAAACCATTTCTAATGTGTCAGTGGTTATCGTTTTAGTCTTTCAAAATATAATTTATATATGCAGATATCATTTGTGATATTCTCTCTTTTACGTTTGAGAGAGAGAGAGAGAGAGAGAGAGAGAGAGAGAGAGAGAGAGAGAGAGAGAGAGAGAGAGAGAGAGAGAGAGAGAGATTCACTTGTTTGAAAATCAGCACTGTCACCAGATGACCGAGAATCGTATATTTATTCAGCTTTAATAACATACTGCAAATATTACCAACAAGATATAATACAAATAAATAACATCAAATAAAAGATCTATTGTCTTCAATTACTTCAAAGCAAAACGGATAAGAAGTTGAGCATTGATTTATTGCGTGTGTTTTGACATAACGTGTACATATCTTTTGAGTCTCTGACAAATTTTTGAATTTATTCTATCGCATGTCCTAAATCGGCGATTATTGGAACACTAGTTCAACCTATCCATACTTAATCTACAGCTCTGCCGAGGAACTCGAGTTTATTCTACCTACACAAATTTTATAGCATGGAGATAGAAACAGAACCGCGTTTTGCGTGAAGATCAGTTATAAGATATCATACAGAATTAAAGAATATATACATATACTATAATACATAAATTCGAACAATACATTATTTTCTCCACCATGTGCTAGTAGTTAATTTTATCACAGTGTACAGAAGTTTGTAACATTCCTTACCGTATTGATGCCATAAAAGCATATAACTATGTTGCAATGGATACACGGCATCATTGTGACGAATTTTATTTACATACAGAATAAATTTAAGGCCTAATAAATAATATGGGATACAATTGATTCTATCGTGATAAAACAACTTTAGTTTAAAATTATTCATATCACTTGGAATAAAAGATTGGAATGGACAGGGACAGAAACAGAATGTGATTTGAATTAAGCTGCATACCCCGACATTTTCCCACCAATACTCCTTTTAAACTATTAGGCCAAAGGACCAATGTTAAGAGTTCATTCGGGGTAAATGTGCCAATAATTTCGTAACGACTATGCTTAAATATCGTCCTCCTTATTGAGTGAAATCCACTAATCCGACGTCTCATGGATGTTACTGCACTTCAAAAACGTCCCGAGAGACTTTCGGCACATACTTAAATTGGGCTCCTTTGATTTAAACTCAGCCGTATACCAACGCTATAAAAAGTGTTTCTTTAGCAATAAATATTTTATACACAGAATCCTTGTAGAACGTCTTAAACATGTTAGTGTTCTAATAGAAAATTCTCATTCAAAACATGCAGTTATATGGGATCGAACTCACAATACCAGTAAATCATCAAAAACAGGAATTTTTGCTGAAATAGGGCAAAAGTTCTAATAAAAATTCACAAATCACCGGAAATATTTATAAGTAGTTAGCCTATGACAGAACTAAACTAGCTGGAAGATTCGTATATAGTCCTTATTGAGACCTTTGGCTTCAGTGATGAAGAATTTGTTCCGGAACCGATGGAAACCTATAGCCAGCGGGTTCTCCATTTTGTCTCGCTCCGTTAAGATGTTCTTTACTCGAGTGCCATCTGGCGACAGCTGATGGACGCACATAGAGTTCTTGCAGCAGATGTACACGTTCCCTTGGTTGTCCGTGTCTACACCTACTGGATAAATCAGATCCTCGGCCGTGTAGGCGTACAGCAGTGCCCCCTGTGGCGTGAGGGCGGTGAGGCAATTTTTTTCATGGTCTGATACAAAAATAGTTTCGTTACTGACTTTAATGTAAGCCGGTGATAGGCTGATCGGGTCACCGGCTTTGTTTGGCTTGATCGTCTGAATCTCGGTACCATCAATAGAGCAGATAGTTATTCCAGTACTGGAAACCATGTACAATTTATTTCCATAGTAGGCAAGTCCGTGATACATCTTCGCCATTTCTATGGTCTTGCCCTCTAGGATGGTGTTGCCACTCAAAGAGATGAACTGAACGCTGTTTGAGCTTGGGATGGTAATAGCGAAATTCTCCTCATCGATCATAGTTATATCGCTTGGTTTTCCTTGTAAGGTGAGCTTGCCAAGGACTCTTCCCTTTTCACTGAATAGTTTGATCTTGAAATTGTCGTAGTCAACCAGAAGCAGACGGCTATCATCTAGGTATATACCGCTGGTAATGTTGCAGTGTCCACGATCTCCAGGCAACCAAACGCGGATCTTTCCTATCTCGCGTGCGATGCCTTTTTTGAAAGGGTTGGCAGTAATTTGTGGAACCTTATCTGAAGACCTTGTCACATTAATGGTGCCAAGCTGACGTACCCCCTTCAACAAATCTTCAACCGTCTTGTCGACCGTAAAGCTGTAATCCACCTTCTCCAGACGTTTTTGGATGTCTGTTAAAGTGCTCTCGTATTTCTCACATTCGATACGAACTTTGGTGGACAACGCAAGAAGTTGGGACTCACATCCTTCTTCTTGATAGGTATCAAACAGAATAGATGCATTAGAGATTGCTTTGTGTATATTGTCACAATTCGTCGTCTGGACTTTCAGTTTATCCATCTCCGTCCTATGAAAATTTGAGAAGGAGGTTAGGATTTTCTCCTCCAGGTCACGGAAGGTTTCTTCCACATTTTGGCGAATGGTTCGAATCTTGCCGACAATCTCGAACTTTTTTAATTCTAGCTCATGCATAAGCCTTTTTCTGTTTGCAAGTTGATC